TATACACTTCCCCTCTCTTCTAACTTATAACTGTACTTAATAATAACAAAGTTTTTAGGAGTTAAAAGTATTATATTCCAATAAAGGATTGTAAACAGTTTAACCTTGTTTAATGCCTTCTGATTTCTCTTTTATATTTCTTTTTTTATGTTTCTCTTGAGTCTTTTATTTGAAAGTCAAATGTTCTATTCGGCTCTGATCTTTTCATCAGGAATGCTTGAAAGTCCTCTATTTCATTAAATATACATTTACCCTCAAAGGATTATGATCGATTTTGTAAGGGTAAGTTATTTTTTATTGTAATCCTAGCTCATTTGCCTTCTGGAATATTGTATTCCAACTCCTTCCTTCCTTTAATGTAGAAGCTGCTAAATCCTGTGTTAGTTTGACTATAGCTCCACTGTATTTAAATTGTTTCATTCTGGTTACTTTCAATATTTTCTTTTTGACCTGGGAGCTCTTGAATTTGACTATACTATTTCTGGGAGTTTTCATTTTGGGATCTCTTTCAAGAGGTGATCAGTGGATTCTTTCAATTTCTGTTTACTCTCTGGTTCAGGGCAGTTTTTCATGATAATTTCTTGCAATATAATGTGTGGGTTCTTTCTTTGATTGTGTCTTTCAGGTAGTCCAATAATTCTTAAATTATCTCTTCTTGATCTATTTTCCAGATCTGTTACTTTTCTGATAGGATATTTTGCATTTTCTTCTATTTTTTTTCTCCTTTGGCTTTGTTATATTGTTTCTTGATGTCTCATAAAGTCATTTGCTTCCAGATACCCAATTATAAATTTTAAGGAATTATTTTCTTCAGTGAGGTTTTGTACCTCCTTTTCCATTTGGTCAATTCTGCTTTTTAAGGAGTTCTTTTTTTGTGAATTTTTGTACCACTCTTCCCATTTGGCCATTTTTGCTCTTAAGGAGTTCTGTCCAGTGGACTTTAATGCCTTTTTCACTATTTGGCCAATGCTGTTTTTTAAGGTGTTTTTTTTTTTCAATATTTTTTGCTTCTCTTTTACCAAGCTCTGGATTTTCTTTTCATAATTTTCTTGCATCACTCTCATTTCTTTTCTGAATGTTTCCTCTACTTCTCTTACTGATTTTTAAAATCCTGTTTGAGTTCTTCCAAGATTTCTTGTTGGGTTTGTGCCCAATTTTCTTTCTTTGAAGCTTTGTATGTAACTATTTTGACTTCATTGTCTTCTGAATTTGTGTCTTAATCTTCCATGTCACCATAGTAACTTTCTGTGGTCAACTTCTTTAGTTTTATGTTCATTTTCCAGACTATTTTTTGAGTCTTAACTTTATGTTAAAGTTGAGCTCTGCTTCTGAAGTTGAGGGGGTAGTGTTCTAGGCTTCAGGTTTTTCACACTTCTATTTTCAGTGCCAGTTCTTGGAGTCTATAAGTTTTCAGCTCTTCAAAGTGGTATGATCTTCTGGTCTATACTCTGGCCTATAAGAGACTATAAACACTTTTCTTTGCCCTGAAACTGTTACCAGGATTCCTGTTACTCTGTGGCTGCAAGTGCTCTCCTTCCTTATGGTCCTGGAAATGTAACTGGAGATCCTGCTCTTTTACAGCCAGAAGTGTTAATACTCTTCTCTGAGTTGGAGCTCAGACCAGAGTCCCTACTCCCTTGTGAGTGACCACAAGTACTCTTCTCTGCGGAACTGTGATCATGGTTTCTGTTTGCATTCAAGGGGCGGAGCCAAGATGGCACAATTAAGTCAGGAACTCACCTGAATTCACTCAAATTCCCCTCCAAATAACTTCAAAATAATGCCTCAAATCAAATTCTGGCATGGCAGAACCAACAATTGTTTCAAGGTGAAATAATTTTCTAGCCCAAGACAACTTAGGAGGTCAACAGGAAAAGTCTGTCTCACCAGCACAGTGGCCAGGCCTTGAGCACAGTGAAGTGAATGTAAAAAATAATTTTTAACATTTGTTTTTTAAAAATTTGAGTTCCAAATTCTCTCCCTTCCTCCTTTCCCACCCACCCTCATTAAGCAGACAAACAATTCAATATAGGTTTTACATATGTAATAATGTAAAACACTTCCATAATAATCATGTAGTGAAAGATTAACTATATTTCCCTCCATCCTATCCCCCCCCTTTATTCCATTCTATCCTTTGACCTTGTCCCTCCTCAAAAGTGTTTGCTTCTGATTACCCCCTCCCCCAATCTGGTCTCCTTTCTATCATCCCCCCTCTCTTATCCCCTTCTCCCCTCTTTTCCTGTAGGTAAGATAGATTTCCATATCTAATTGAGTGTGTATTTTTATTCCCTTCTTAAGCCAAATCCAATGAGAAGTGGTGCTTGGGCAGAGACCTATTGTTGTCCAATCTATGAGCTCCAGAATGAACTGGGTTTAAGGCTAGCCAATAAATCCCAAGTTAAGTAGGCAGCTTTTGTCCGTTAAACTTAATGGTTATTTTTTGGGCCCTCCTGGCTCAGAGTGAATGTAAGTAGAAACTTTCTTTTTTGGTGAGCAATCTTGAGGGTCTTCCCCACCCAGTTTGATTTTTTTTTTTTATTAAAGTGGCCATCCCTTGACTCCCTTCTTAAAGAGGCCTATTCACTGAATGAGCATTGCCTCACTCAAAGTGAGAACTTGAGAAGACCTTACCTTAAAAAGGCCAAGGTCTCCCACTGCATCTGGGGCCATCTCTAGTTGTCCTGACCTATATCTCACCACTGGACCCAGATGGCTCTGGAGGAGAAAGTGAGGCTGGTGACCTTACACAGCCCTTCTTCACTCAAATCAAAGTCAATTGCAAGTCATGTCATCATCTCCCTGATGTCATAGTCCTCTTCGAGAACAAAGGAAAAATACAACCACCTGCATAACACTACTCTGTCCTGGTTTAACTTCTTTCTGTCTAACTGCTCTTTCTCATTCTTCTTTGCTATATCACCATCCATATCACATCTTCCAGTTGAAGGTGATCCCCAAAGTTCTATCCTAGGATCTCTTCTCATCTCCCCTCTACTCTGTTTCTCTGTGTCTTTTTTCTGTCTCTCTGTCTCTGTCTCACTATCTCTGTCCCTGTCTTTCTGTCTTGGTCTCTCTATCCCTTTGCCTCTGTCTCTGTTTTTCTGTGTGTGTCTCTCTGTCTCAGTCTCTGTCTCTCTGTCTCTCTGTCTCTGTGTGTGTGTGTGTGTGTTTCTCTCTCTGTGTGTCTCTCTCTAACTGCATAAACTCCCCTGATTTTGACAATCATCTCTATGCAGATGACTCCCAGATCTACCTGTCCATCCCTGGGCTTTCTCCTGAGCTCCGGTCTTGCATCACCACTTGCCTATTGGACATTTCAAGTGTTCCAATGATATCTTAAACTCAATATTTCTAAAACTGAACTCATTATTTTTTCCCTAAACCTTCTGTTCTTCCAAAATTTGTTATTTCTGTCAAAGGCACAAACCATCCTTCGAGACTTCCACGTCCGTAACTTCAACTTTGTCCTCAATTCTTCACTATTCCATACCGTACATGTTAAAAAAAAGTTGATGAATTTTACTATTTATGCCTTCACAGTATCTCTCACATTCGACCCTTTCTCTCTATTCGCACAACTACCATCTTAGATCAAGTCTTCTTCACCTCTCATCTAGGTTATTAATAATTGATTTTCCTGCTCAAATCTGTCCGCAGTGCAGTTGATTCTATACATTGCTGCCAAAGTAATTCTCCTTAAACACAGATCTACTGTGTGATTCTCTTGATCAACCAACCAACTCCAGGCTTCTTATTGTTTCTAAGACAAAATATAAACTTCTCAAGTTAGCTTTTAAAGCACTATACAACCTGGACACAGTCTATGTTTCCAGACTCATAGGATATTTTTCCTCTTACACTCTGATCCAGACAACACACAAACTTGCATCCTGTATGTTATTCATACATGAAACTTCATTTCCTTTCTCAGCGCCTTTTCATTAGTTATCCTGATGACCAACAGCTCTTTAACTTTCTTTATATTTGTGTCGTATGCATTTTTATACATACTTGTCTCTTCCATTAGACTGCAAACTCCTTGTATAATACCGACTATTTCATTCTTTGTGCCTGTATGTACAGCACCTAGCCCAGGCCTTAGCATATAGCAGATATTTAATAAATATTTGTTGTTTGAAGGTTTTTGTTGTTGTTGTTGCTGCTGTTTTTTGGTATTGATTCCCACTCTATGATTCTTTTATCCTACAATTTGGAAAGTTTTCCTGGAGTTCAGCTTGGAAAGATGGATAGGATTTTAATAGGCAGCCAAGAGAAGAGGGAATCCCCAGCATGGAAAGGATAACTTAATGCAGAAGGACAGCATAAGGGAAGGTATAGAGGTGATACTGAGTGTAGTGTATATGGAAAGCAATGAAGAATTGATTCCAAATAGGAGATTGTCTCTTGTTCTTAAAGAGCTTCAGGATGTCTCCATTGGTAATTTATGCCGAATCCTGCAGGAAATTTTCAATAAGATAGGATATTGGATATTTTTCCCCCTCACCATAGCTAACCCAAATCTATCTTTCAATTTAGGCACATTTCTTCTTGTTGTTAGATGGAATCAAAACTAGTGATTACCATTTCTCACATAATGACCTTTCATCTATTGTTGTGCTTCAGATTACTTTTGAATCATTCCCCCAAGAAAACTACACTGTATTTTATTTAGCTGACCTTACCTAATTATTCATTAGTTTTATTGCCCTGACTTGGATTCATCCCAGTTTTGCCTCATCTATCTTAAAGTAGACAGAGCCCAACTAGAGATAGTCTAATGAAGGTTTCATATATGGCTACTTAAACACACTAATCTGTTATTTTGGGACTTAAAACATTTTGCTTGATATACCTCTTAGTCAAAGGTCAAAGCTGTGTCTAAGAAAGAAGGGCTATGGAGCCCATTTGCTCCTGGAAGTTTGAGAGATACCAATAACAACATGTAACAAAAACTGAAAGTGAAAAGAGGAAGGCTGATTGAGCAATAAAATAAAGGAGAGAACGCCAGTAAAAACCTATTCTATGGTAACTACAGAGATGCATGGCAGAGGAAGGAAGAAAATTCAGGAGAGGCCTCCTGATGAGGCAAGATAGGCTTTAAGATCCCCTCAGTGCTGGACATCAGCAAACAAGTCTAACAGGAAATGATCCATTCCATGTGGTCACTTATTCTGCCTTCTCTAACTCTCAAAGTTCAAATAGTGAAATGGATGACGACAGAGAAAGAGGAGCAGTTAAACTTTATTTCTTCACTTCTGGCCTTAAGAAGAGAGAAGAAATGAAACTCCTGGATTGTATATCCACCCTTCCTCAGACAAAAAGCTCTGCATGGCAGGCTAGAAGAGGAGGGCTCCTCTCAGCCACTCTGTTACTAACACTTCTCTCCGGTGGCCTGGCACTGGTCTCATTGTACCAAGTGTTCACCCTGCAGGCTGAGTTGAGGAGTCTCCGGCATGAACTTCAGGCTTATCCGAGCAGGACTGAGCAACTGCAGGGCCTGCAGAAGGAGAAAGCAGAAATTTACCCTACTATTCTTCAGTCAGAAGCTGCTGCCATCACAGGACTACAAGTGAGTTACCAAAAAACTGCCTAGCCCTGAGTACAGGGCTCTCATGCTTCCTACTTCTTTTACTTCTGCTTATTTTTTTTTTTTTTTGTAAATAACCTGGGTCTTTTTCATTAACAGGAGCGTGGGGCACCCCCTATCACAGGAGAAAGCAATCCCCAAATCAGCCTTAGACAAAGCAGAAGGAGCAGAAGAGGTGTTCCGGACTCAGGGGAAACTAGTAAGTTGAGGGGAAGCAGTCTTTCAGAAACCTCCCAAATGGGGCAAACACCCATAGCACAAAAATGGGGAGAATTAAGTGATTTCATTTTCCTTCCTGGTTCTCTGATCTACATGTTTTCTTGTTGCAAACAAAACCTGACCAGACATGCTGCTAAAACAAGGGAGCCCTTTACGAGTATTACTTCAATTGTTCCAGGTTGTAGTGAAGAGGAGATTTAAGTATCAGCCTTCATGAGCCCTGGAATCATCTAGGGGAGTGGAGGAAGGGAAGGAAAAAATACCTCTTTTATTATTCTGACTCTTCATAGTGAACGCAATAAGCTGGTCAGTATTTTAATGTTCCTAAACAACATTTCATTCGTGAAATAATTCATCTGTGCTTGGTATAAAGGGAGCAGTTTATTTAATATTCAAATAAAAGAAAGGCCACTTTGTCAGAAGCATTGCCCATGACTCATGTAATAAAACCTCACCTTTTCCTATCCCATTTCCAAATCCAGAGCCATAATCAAATTAGGGACTGTCTTTGCTTTTGTATTTGTATGCTCAACCCTAGACACAGTGCTTTGCACATAGTAAGCCTTGGTAAATGTTTTGTTTTTCATTCTTTCATTCAAATGCTTTCATCTCTCTTTTATTAGAATGTGCCCATCTGAGACAGAGAGTTGGCTAAATATACTCATCTCTGCCATGCGCCATTTTGTGATATTTATACCAGAACAGGTGTACTGCTTTAATCTTATTGCTTCTCTCAAGACATTTTTAACAGTCCCTCCATATGAGAACTGAATGTGCCATTAATCTTCATTTTTTTTAAATAACTGTGCATGGAGCCCTTAAGTTTTAGACATCTCCTTATGTTAGAGAGATGAAGTATCAGAATGGTTAGAGATCTGACCTCTGAATCAGGAAAATCTGGGTTCTCTTGCCTCTGACACACATACTGGCTGTGCAATTCTGTAAAAGTCGCTTAACCTCTTAGTTTTTAAACAACTCTCTAAGGCTATCATTTACAGTGAAAATATCTACCTACACTCTTAGACAGAGTTCCCTTATCTGGCAGTTCCCTAATCCAATGTAATCAGAGATTCAATCTCTATTCTTCTGCCAGTTAATTTTTTCTAACCATGAAAAATTTACTAGAATAGTTTATAGCATAACAGGATGTTAAAGATGACCTTAGAATCCTTGCCATTTAGTGAAATTCAATGTAATTTAATGTAAGAGGAAACTGAGGCCCAAGAGGTAAAATGCCTTATCTGAGAGACTAATTGTACTATTTTGCATTTAGCCATCCAGAGCTCATTTGCCCATGATCAGAAAAATTCTTTATAACAATTCAAGAATTTATGTTTTAGAGTTGACAATGTATGACTTCAAATGTAATGCTTGCCATCACATTTTTATTAAAGCCCCAATGATTCCCTTTTAAAAGATGTGATCATAAAATCCAATCCATCTTTGAAGTCCAAATTTAAGATATATCTTCTTTGTGAAGCATTGCCTGATCAACTCAGATCATTATAAATCTCCCCTTACTCTGAGCTTCTAGGCCATCATTTATCATTTTTACAAGTCATACTCATTTGGGATTTATGACATTCTATTTTTCACTCTTGGTTACATTTGCATATGTACAGTCTATTTACCAATAGGATCAGATCAGAAGCCCCCAGAAGAAGGAAGGAGAAAGGGAGAAGGATAAAACTTGGTTCTTCCACAGTACCTACTATAGTCTCTTGCACATAGTACACAGTAAATAAATGTATTGATTCAATAGGAGCTTTAAAGTGATATTGAATGAAGTGACTTTGAGGTTACTTAACATTGTATTCCTTCTGAATTTCTTCTCATTTCTCAGTTTGTATTTAATCAGAAAACATTTTATGAAATATTAAAAGTTCATATTTATTGTAGCTGATTGAAAAACATAAGAGCACTGCCACAAGGGTTCCAGCCAGGAATACAGTCTAGGCCTTTTGGTTGTGGTGGTGAGCCAGGGAAGATAGCTCCCTAAAACTTGAGTAAAATGGCCCCAGAAACACCTTCTTTCAGACATTCATTCAGTTATAATTCTGATGAATTGAAGTTTTATCTCTATTTCATTCTTCAGTGCCGATATTTTTTTTCTTAATTATTTTTTTAACCTTTTAAATTAAAGACTTAGCTGGGTTCAAAGTATTTCACAAGATTGTTTCTGATTAAAATCTAACAGACAGAAATGTGGGGAAATCCAGCATAAAAGAGGTGCCAAATAACCAAAAGTTGCTCAAATTAATTTCATACTCAAACCCATAAACATATCTAGAGTTTGACTATTAGTAGCTTGCTAGTACAAACTGCCTTCTGTAGTAGCAAAGGCAAGTAGGTAACATCATTTCTTTTTAAGTGAAGACTTGACTATCCAACCCTCCAGTCCTGCTTGCTGGAGTCTTTGTTCTTAGATAGTCTAGAAGGACACCATCTGCTTTCTATAGCTACCTTCTCTTTCCGTATTTATTGTTGGGGAGCTGTTCAAGTCTGTTTCCTCTGGAGTTCTAAATCTGTTGTGACCTGTGAAGCTATAGTGAGAAGAAATCCTAAAGACGCTCAGCCAAAGAAGCATAATAGGAGAGTGCAACATAGAGTGTTAGGAGTAGCAAGGGGTCCCACATTCCTGCCTATATGGAAAACAATCATGAACCTCTTCTCCATCAGTCCACGCAACAGCTATAGCGGAGAGCCAGCTGGCTACTGACACTGTGCCCTCTGGCCAAAATTTGTCCCTGAAGGATTTTTTTCCCTGCACCAGAATATCAGAAACTTGGTCTCCAATGTTGCAAGAGACAAACATCTGTTCTACTTGTCAGAGTGGAATATGCAATTGACAGCAGTGACCTAGCAGCCATATTTTTTTTGAACCCTGTTATTGTTAAGCTTGACATTTTAGGAACATAAAGAGCCAAGAAACAAGTTGAACATTTTCTTTAAGTCAACTCAGTCAAAAGAGATGTTGTATATCTCTGTGCCATTCACTTGGTTGGAAGCAACAGATTTAATGATTGATATTTCTTCACACATTCAGGGGGTTTTTTGAACCCATTTGGAGGTCAAGATACTAGTAATGGGCTAATTTTTTCAGAAGTCTCTACAGTGTGGAAGAATATGTAATAATGACAATACTATTCTAGTTGTGGTTGCTGTTGTTGATATTTGTCAATTATACCTTTTCTAGATCAATCCTATTTATAATGAACTCTACTAATCTTCTTTTGCTCATTGTTGTAATAGAATTTGTTTATAACAAGTACATTTCTGGATGCAAATACTAATTTAGAAAGATTAGTGAAGAAACAGAGCTGACATCCAATTTTCTCTTCCCTCTAAAAAAGTTCATTCAGCAGTAAATCAGTAATGAACATTTTCACTGAGTTTTCATATGGTACTTTGTACCTCTCACATATTTATTCAGTGTTATTTTGTATATTATAATTTTCTTCTAATCAACCATATGCCTGTGTTAGATTTTATGTTCAAAGAGAGCAGTTTCTATGTTTTTTTTTATTTTACCCAATAATCCACACAATGATCTGTATATAGTAAATACTTAATAAATGTTGAATTAAATCAATCAAATAAAAATATGTATTTAGTGCCTGCTGTATTCAGGAAACAATTCTAGATTCTGGAGTACATATAAAAAAGTGTAAGGCCTGTTTTTATTTTTATTTTTTCCCTCAGGAAGCTTGTTATCTAGCTTGAGATAAGCAGTTTGTTGGTGAATGCATGATGACAATATACGTATGTCAAATAGGTCACAATAAGTGCTACTTCAGAGGAGGAAGAGCGTACTAGGGGCTAGGGTGATATGGAAAGGTTTCAATTTCACCCTATCTTCTACTCTTAGAACAGTCACCCTCTTGTTCTAATGATTTTCATCCCTTACCAAACCCCAGCCTTGGATGACGCCTACCACTGGCCTCCTCTGCTTCTGCTTATGTACTGTTGAGCAGAGTTAAAAGAATTCACACAACCTTACTGACCTGATATAATAAAAAAATTATGTTAAACTTTACTTGAATCTTTACTACAGCAAGATAATGCTTTCATTACTGAGTAACTGATTCCTTATCTCATTCCACACAGAAGTTATACCAAACCTTCTCATTTTTCCTTATTCCTCCCACCTACCCCTATCCTATCTCAGCAGAGGACCTTAATATTTTTTTTTTTCTTTTCTTTTGTGAGGCAATCAGGGTTAAGTGACTTTCCCAGGGTCACACAGTGGAGGCCAAATTTGAACTCAGGTCCTCCTGCCTTCAGGGCCTAATGCTCTATCCACTGCACCATCTAGCTGCCCCCTTCCTATTTCTTTTACTGAGGAGATTAAGGCCACTTTTTTTAAACCCCCCCCCATGAGCTTCCTCTTCTCACTTTCTCTTTCTTAGTCCTTACTCTTTCCTCTTTTCTTCCAGTTTCTAATAATGATGTGGCTCTTCTCCTTGCCAAAATTCACCCTTATACACGTGCGTTTAATCCTATCTCTTCCCATTTTTTCCAGTAGACTTCAGTTTTGTCCCCACTCCACCTCTCTTTTTCTATTGGTTCCTTAACTACTGCCTTCAAACAGGCCCAAGTTTTTTTCCCTCCTTAAAACAACAAACAAAAACCTCTCCATTACACCCTATTGTAGCCTCGAATGATTGTTTTATATCTCTCCTGCCTTTATTAGCCAAACTCCTATAAAAAGTGGTCTACAGTTGCCATCTTCAGTTTCTCTTTTTCTGTCATTCCTCAACACTTTGCAATTTGGCTTCCGATCTTACCATTCAATTGAAATTTATTTTTCTTCTTTATTGTTAGCAATGATATCTTAATTGCAAAACCTGATACTCTTTTATCACACTTGATCCTTTTTTACCTCTCTTCAGCATTTTGTATCATTGACCATCCTTGTTTCCTAGATATTCTCTTCCCTCTAGGTTTTTCTAATGCTTCTTTCACCTGGTTCTCCTCTCA